GGCGGCCTGAGTCCCAGGAGATAGTGTCAACTGAGGTGACACCCTCCTCGGCCAGACGGGCCTCCAAGGCGGCGTAGCGGCGGGCAAGGGAGCGGTAAGCCTCAAGGAGTAGGTCGTGCTGAGTGGCCTGAGCCTCCGAAAGCTCAACCATGCGAGTCAGCACTAGCTGAGACTCGCTGTACGGACAAGGGTACCTGGCGTCTGAGTGGCCAGAAGGAAGGCGTGGAAGCTGCCGGAAGGCGGAGCCTCCGAGACGGTGGTTGTAGTCGTGGGCCAGGCGATGAAGCGCAGTCCAGGAGAGGTCCTGGTACGCGATCTGGAGAGTGGGCCTGGCCACGGTGAAGTGGTGTGGACGAAGGCCGGCTCCGTGTATACCTCCACGGGGGTAAAGGTACACAGAGAGCTCACAGTGAGGGGGAACACGGTCCACGGAGTACCCCGTGTACTCGGGACACGAGAAGCCAAGGAAACAGGCGAGGTCACGAAGCTGAGCGACGTGGTGACCCTCACCAAAACCGTGGGAACTGAAGCTGGCGCTCACTGCCATCTACAATTTTGAAAGAGGGAGAAAGATCAGTAACCATTTTAGAAACAAACTATTGAAAATAAAGAAAACAAAAGAAACCTTAGCTTTTCGCAAGTAGTTTTGAACTTAGTATCCATAGGGTCGTCCTAAACGTCGGGTTTCGCCTTAGGGCCAAGCCTGTGCTCTGATACCATCTCTTGTCACGCCCCGAACTAGTTCCGACTGGAACTAGCCCGTGACGCTCCAAATTAACCAGTCCCAGGAAACAGTGCTGGTATCACAGGAAGACAGAATATCACAGCAACAGAAGTCTCTTTATTATAGAGTAGAAGTGCAGTCATGTTGGGCTGCGGACAGATCCCGAGCTCACAACTGCATTACAAAAGGGAAACGGAAGCCAGGACTTGGACCACACAACACAGGCGCGACTTGGGAACTAGGCCGAAACCATAAAACTCATCGTAGCCGGCTTGCTCCTGGAAGAACTCCTCATCAGCAGGATCCGCTTCATCTTCTTCAGCAACTGGGGGGGATTATTTATACAGAGCAAGGGTGAGTACGGGAGTACTCAGCAAGCCAGGGAAAATAAGTGTTTATTGCAGGCTTCAAGGAAAGGCTGTTATTTTTGCAATTTATTTTATTTGAACTCTTTTCTAAAACGACTAGGTGAGTGCTTCTCAAACGACTCGGATGAGACAGTGCGTCTCGTCCGGTCGGAGTATGTGCAATGCATCAATCTTTAGAATTGAAACAGGATTGGCACCCGGCCAACAGCTTTTCAAACGGCCACCCGGGCCAACAACTTTTCAAACGGCCACCCGGGCCTAGCTGATCCCGTCAGCTGCTGATTTTTCAAACATCGAACCCCTTTTCACAACAGCAATTTCACAAGCAGTAGTCAAACAAAACTACGCTAGGAAACACCTCACATCCGCCCATGACCATGGGCATGGCTGTTCGAACAGTTTGTTAACCTCTGCAGAGGGGGTACACTTTACCCACACGACATTACTAACCCGGATCACCCAGCCCGTGGGGATCAGCCACGTCGGGAGACCTCCAAGCTTTCATGACAAGGCATTTCGAAAGCCGATACAGGTTTACCATATGCCAACGAGAGGGGTCCCAGACCAACAACAGGTTAGTTCCCAGACCATACTGTGCCAGGAAGCCCAGGGGTCCTCCCCGACACCACCCCGGCGAATCCACATGTCTCTCGGCATCAAGGCTCCCCTGATAAGCTAGTTACTTAGCCAGGGGTGTCCCATTCCACCCATGTGGTCGTACTTGTCTTATGTTCGGATGAAATTCCAAGGAAACGGTCCTTAAGTGCAAGAGCGGGAAACCGTACACCCGGTACGTTCCCAGTCCGCGGTTTTGGAAATTCATTTAATTCACAAGCACCGACCCAGGTGTCGGGTTTTCCAAGTCTTTTGTAAAACTCCAGTTTTACCCAAGTTGTTACTCAGATTTTAAGTTTGAAGGCGACCGTCGATACTCGCACAGAGTGCACGAATATCGAGGCGTAACTGGGTGGTTACAAGGGACATGGTACAGCAATTAACAATGGAAGGATCAAATGCAACAAGTTAGGTAGGTCCGCCAATCTGCCTTGCAGACGGAACAATAGATTAAGTGCGATCCTATCAATGCATAATATTTTGCAAGCAATATAATTAGATTTCAAATATAGGCTCAAGATGTTCAAAGGTGGCTTGCCTTGCTCGAGATCTGGAGCTTGATCCTCGAAATCCTCGCACTGCGGGTCTTCGGGCTCTGAAACTACACGCAAAACGGGACAACTCAACAAACGGCGGAAATAAAGCCCTATTAATGACCTCTAAGCGTGCCATTAGATAGATCTCGAGATTTGAGGAATTTTGGAAGTTGAACGGAGTCAAACGGATTTACGGTTGGGAAGATATTGACTTTCTAAGATTATCGGATTTTTGGTCTAACGGAAAAAGGATTTAATTAAATCCTTTTTGGAAAAGAAAAAGAAAAGAAAGGAGGGAGGGAATATAGACTTTTCTCAGGCGGCTAGGGTGCGGCCCAAGAGATTTAGGGCGGCTCGGCCGAGCTTAACGGGCCGGCTGGCCCAAGACGGCCCAAGCGCGCGCGCGCGGGAGGGAGGAGAGAGAGGGAGCCGGTGGACCGGGCTCACCACGCGTGGTCCCGGGTGGGACCCGCTTGTCAGCGGCTCGACTCACCGTGCGGAGGGAGCACGCGGCGCACGCGCGCGGGCGGGGTTGGGACGCGGTGCACGCGCGCGGCTCGCGGTGGACGCGGATGCGGCGGGCCCACGCGCAGCCTCACGGCTCGCGGTGGAACGCGCGCACGGGGAGGTACCAACCGGGGTCGGCTCGACCCGGTCTAGGCTGAGCTGGCGCCGACGTGGCGCCTACGTGGCTGCCACGCGGGCCGGCAGGAGGTAGACGACGACCCGGCCGCGAATGGACGGCGGGTGGCGGCGGCGAGCGGCGGAGCGAACCACGGTGATACAGGCAAAAGCGAGCACACCGGGCGGTTGCACGGGACGAGGGGAGACGAGCCAACGGCTCGGATTCGCCGGAGGTTGCTCGACGGCGGCGGATTGCGGCGGCGGCAACCGGCGGCGAGGGAAGAGGGAAACGGCGACGAGGCCACGAGGGGCCGATTCCCGGCGGTGAGACCATCTACGCGGCTTCGGGAACTCGACGCTAGCGTCGGGTTGGGCGGAACTACGCCGAGCGAGGCCGGCGACGAGCGGGTGCTACGGAGCTAGGGCGGCGACGGCAGCGAGCACACGGCGAGCGACGGCAATGGTCGGGGCGGCGCCGGCTAACTACGGGGAGGCTACTCGAGCTACTACCGAAATCTAAGGGGAGGAGATGGAGCGAGGAGGAAGAACGGAGGGAGGCACTACCGTGCGGGACGGGGCGCTGTGACGAGAGGCCGACGGCGCGGGAGTAATCTCTCCGGCCTCGGGCCGGGGAAGAGGAAGAAGAAGGCGCGGCCAAAGTCTTCTTCCGCGTCCTTGCTCGTGCCGGCTCCTCCGACACGCGCGATGACGATCGGCGACGGCGAAACAGAGGGCGGCAATGGCGCGGAGGCGAAAATGAGAGAGTTTGGAGGGGGAGGGCTTGGGCTTAAATGGGCGGCAATGTCGGTTTGGGAGAGGGGAACCGACATTGAACGGTCAAGGCGCGAGCGGGCGCTCGGCGCTTGTAGCCAAAGCGGCGGCAGGAGGATGACGCCCGCGAGGAGGAAAAAGGGGAAAAGGAGGGGGAGAAAGGGGCTTGCCCCTTTGCCGATTCGGGAAAAAAGGGGGAGGGGAGCGGGAGCGTCGCGGCAGAGGGAGGAGGGGCGCGGCTCCGTCCCTTGGCGGCTTGCGCGCGGAGTGGCGGGGGCCGGGCGATGACGACGGCGATGACGGGGGGACGGCTTGGAGCGGAGCGGCGACATTGGCGACAGGCGCGTGCAGAGGCTGACGGCGGCGGCGACCGGGCGGTCGGCCACTCGGCACGCGCGCACGGCTTGCAACGGGCGGCGTCCGCGTGGGCGCGCGCGAACACGGCGCGCGGGAAGCGGCAGCGAGGGAGCGGTGAGGGAGGACTTGGCTCGGCACGGGCGGCTTACGCGTGCTGGCTCGCGGGGCCGAGCGGAGGGGCGCAGGGCGCGGCTCTCGCGCTCGCGCGCGGCGCGCGAGGGAGGGGCGCTCGGCGCGGCGACGCGCGCTCGCGCGCGCGGCGCGGGGCGGAGCGGAGGGAGAGAGGGAGAGAGCGGGGGCGTGCCGGGGAAAGCGAGAGGGAGAGGGAGATGGGCCGGGGGAGAGGGGAAGATGGGCCGAGGGAAAATCGGCCCATCGACCCTGGGGGAGGCAGAATGGACTTTTGCGGAGGAATTTGATTTGGAGGGATTGGATTCGGAATTGAACTCGACGATAGATCGGGGATTGAGATCTTGAGATGGCATGGACACTAGACAACAAGCAAAGAAACAAATTTCGCAATTAGGGTTTTTAAGAGATAATTTTCCCGCTAGGCGCCACGACGGAACGGGCGCTACACCCTTTAAGGAGATACCACATAAAAATCTTAATCTTAAGAGGCATTTTATGTTTCCAAATAATTTTATTTCTCTCAATGTAACCATTATTAATTAAAGCTAAGTACATAGATCGTACAAAAAATTGGCCATTTTGATGAAAATTCCATCTGAAAATGTCATCCTCGTCTATGCACATTGAAAGCACACAAATTATGCCATATTATTAGATCCTGACCAACTAATGCTCTTCTAAAAGAAACATTAATACTACAGCAAAACAACCAGCTAGAGACGATCTGCTTACTACGATTTATCAAACCGTCTGTAATGAACTCAACTACCGTATACCACGAGCACACCCCGCAAATGTAGCTACGAAATGAAGAGACGGGGATTAAAACCGTGGCTACTCCCCCACCCCACGTCCCCACTACCATCACATCTTTTAGAAAAAAAATGTTTATATCCTATTTAATTTTGGAACGGAGTACGTACGCGGTCAAATCCAAAACCCTCGAGGTGGTTCCGCCCACCGCCGCCGCTTGCTGCCGCCACCGTCGTCCACCACTGCCGTTTCCCCCTGTCACCAGCCACTAGCGACAGTCCGTTCCAGCCGTCATGGCCTACCACCCACCACCGTCTCTCACCGCCGCTGCCCACCACTGCCGTCGCCAAACGCCCGCCGGCGCTCCGTTGCAGCCACCAGGGCGTACTGGTCGCCACCGCCGCGCCGTTCTATCTGCTGATTTGTGGGCGATTTGGGATGGGATCAGACTTCAATCGGCTGATTCAATGGGCCAAAAAAGGATTGATCTTCCATGTGGAGCCTCGAGGCAGATCGATTTAGTTGAGGCTGTGCTGCTACTTCAACAAGGTAATGGGGCTGCTTTCTCTCTCCATCGAGACTGCACATTGGTCCGAGCATTTGTTGCAATTGGTTGTGATCCATGCTGAACAATTTGATTTGGGATCCGATTAATTGGTTCTGATTAGAGGTGGTGCCCTATATTATAATAACCTGTTTTGCTGAAGTAGGAATTATTCGAACGACAGCAATATTACTAGTCAGTTATGTTATTGAGTTCTCAATAGTAAAAGATAATACTGTTTCTGAAATCTGAACTGAATCCATTGATTTCTGAAGTCTGGACAGAGCACACCAATATAAATTTGAATGCTTTATCTGTATTTTTTTATGCAGGGCATCTCTTAGCAGAATAGAGGAAAAACTTGTGGTTCTGTTATTTTGACATCTGTGTTAATTGATTCTCATGAATGTTGGTTATGGCTGAAGCATCCCATGTAACTACAAGGTAAGATTAAATAATTCCTAACAAATTTTGTGCATATATGATGGCTAGTCTCATGAGAAACAAACTCTGTACATGCTGCGCATGCTATGTTGATATATATTTGGGCAGACCAAATAATGACAGTACTGATAAATCATTAGTAATTTTGTTTCAGTGTTCTGCTGTTCCATTGCATAATCAGAAGACAATTTTGTTCACAGACTTCAATGTTTATTAGGGGCATTACTGCAAGATGAACCTGCTGAACTTGAAATATCATGGTATTCTTGATGACTGAAAGGTACACTCCTTCGCGTCCATAGTGTTAAATCTGTGAGATAGTTCATGCCTCATTTCTTTGGGTGGTACTTGTTAATATTTTGCTCACAAATTTTTTTTTTGTTGCTAGCCTCTTCACAAACAGTGATATATTTTCAATTCAAATGGCCAGATAACCCACAGCATTAATTTTCATATGCTATGCGTTGGAATTACTATTTCCATGATCAATAGTCGACCCCATGTTGGTAAACTTGTCAATCTTTTCTTGACGAAAACATTTTATTAGTAGTTTTTTTCTGCTCCACTTATTTTTCTGTAGACTAATAAAGTTTCTTTATACTGCTGTTTCATTGTCTAAAAGGTATGTGAAGATGATGATAAACAACTGAATGGTTCATCGAATCTGGAGCAATGGGGAGATGCTATGCCTGTTTATGACACTCTAGCTGAAATTGTACTAGTTGAGGAATTGTAGTTATAATTGTACACTGTTTCTATAACAAGTTCTATTGTATGATGTAAATTATCACTTGAATGAATAAAATGTGTGTTTTCTTTGATGTCCCTAACTGTAATTTTTTTTCTGATGCTAAATGAAATGTAATGGTATTTGATATTGCCCAAAAGAATCTGTAGATGGCACAATTGTGGTCTGTTCCCGTGTCAAACAATTTCTTCCCTAGAGACGGTTGAAGGTGTGTCTACTCTCTCAAATGCTTGAATAATGGATTTTTCTTTTTATATCCACAAAAAATGGAAAATAAATGTAGAGACGGTTTTGCCCATTTCTATTGACCGTCTCTACCTCATAGTCACGGTTCGCACAACCGTCTCTCTTTTATAGAGACGGGAGCAATGGCAACGCCTCTGAGACGGTTTCAGGTTCTGAAATTGTCTCTAGTAGATGTAGAGACGGTTTAAACCGCGTCTATAGGCTACTAAAACCGTCTCTACACGCAGTTTCTGCTGTATTAAGCCGGAACAGAACCCATAACATTAGCAATTGAGGCATTTTTCCTTCTAACTATAGAAGACAATGAGGGGTACTTTTCCTTCAAAGAATAACTCCCTAGCCATTTGGACAACTAGGACTATGCATATATTATTAAGGTCCACTTGGAAAATCTTAATATCTCAATAATTTCTTCAGGCATGTACTCTGTGTATTCTATAAATACATCCTCCCTACCATTGTTTCCCCAACAAAATATAGGCAAATACTGAATGGGTGGTCTGTGTGGCACCATGATTAATTCTTATCTTGGCCATGCTGCCAGCAATTCTAACTATGGCTGATCCATACTGTGACTGTGATTGTTCCCAGCAATGTGTAGTTAAGTTGCAGTATTTCTTGGACCAATTCCGTGCTGGAGCAGACCATCCAAACCGCAATGAATAATTCGTGAAACGTGGAGGACCTTCTGGGTTAGGCACTGGGCTTATTCATGACTGGAGTTTAACCACTGGACTTGACCCCAATGTAAATATTGTTGGGCGTGCACAAGGATGGCGTATCGTTGCCAGCCAAAGTTCCCCAGTTAATTGGTACCTTTCTCAGAATATAGTATTTCAGGACAAGTAAATGCTACTCACTTTTTAGATAGACTATATACTACTTTTCCATTGGCTTGTATCACTAATTAAATTGCCATCCATGGCACCATTATAGTAAGTATGCATGGTCTACACTTTAGGTGATGGGAATCATTTAAGGAAGTGAAGAGTAAGTTGGAGAGTGGTCAATTATTGGTGGGACTGGCGAATTTACTAATGCGCATGGTAATATCAAGTATAGGGAACTTGATATTCAGGTGTTCTACACTCCAATCACTCAATCAGATGCAAGTTTCTTAAGAAGTACTGCTACAACTCTTTTACAGGTTGTTTGGTTGGAACAATGGGATATGTGATGGTCTACAAAATTATTGTTATATGTTACAGCTGGGAGACCGCTGCCTCCACCGCCGTTGTTGTTGCCGCCCTGTCCGAGGCCCACCGTCATCATCCCCGCAGTGGCAAGCGACGGATCCGCTCCGCCGCCACCACCCTAGCCAATGCTGCCGCCGCCGTCATCGATGCCGCTGCCTCTCTCACTGATGCAGCCGCCCCCGCCACCCTTGACGTGGCCACCGTCGCCGGGAATGGGTAGAGGGGGGGGGGCAGGGGGAGAGGGAAAGGGAGAGGGAGAGGGATGGGATGAGTGGGAATCGGAATGGGATCGAGATGGGAGGAGTGGGAGGATGGGAGGAGCGTGGTACCAGGAGAAAAATAAGTGGGGTAGGTGGGGCGGTGGGCTATTTTCGCATGCGGGTCACTTAAAGGTCCGCATGCGAAAATAAGGCTATTTTCGCGTACGGATCTATTAAGAGGCTCACCTGTGAAAAATGATTTTTCCGTGCGGTCCTTCTGAAGAGCCGCACGCGAAAATAGAGCACTATTTTTGTAGATGTGACCACTTACTGTCCGTCTGCAATCTAAAGTGAGTTTTGTACAGGAAAATCATCTCTACTAGTGCGACACCCTCCTGGAGTATGCTAGTTTGCCCGTCAGGCTACCCGATCAGATAACTCCAACACCACATGTCTAACCGGCGGTACCCGCTCAGTGTGACTGGCCACTTAGAGCCGATAAAACCGTTCACAATCGAAAAACACTGTTCACCGTATTTTCAACTAACACTTACCTTTCACAATTGTTTGTCACCAAGATTAATCATCACATGATTCTACATGTACATATATATGTTATGTTTGCGAATGACAGGAATTTACTCGCTGAAATTAAGTGATTAGCTGATGCCAATTTAGAAGGTCTGGTATCCTATTTTACGCATATCATCATGTGGGCTTGGCGTTCTATAAAAAGAAGATTTCGCCATATCAGGGTTTGTGGATAACTTGTATATTTTTAGCTTTTCCTGTTCTCAAATGACCAGCCATGAGTATGCCATTTCTTAGGAGGGATCGTGAGAGTTCAGTTAGGGGAACAATGGGGAATAAATCTGATCTAGTATATTACTTTTCAATTTCTTTAGGAGATTTTGCATAATAGGCCAGTTTGGTTTGGTACCGTACCAAAATCTTGGCAGTGCCAAAGTGTTGGTAACTTTTGGCACAACCAAATTTGGATGGGCAAAATTTCTACTATCTAAGAGATGGTGTTGCTAAAATTTAGCACCAATCCAAACATCTAGAAACACTACTGAAGATTGCCAATAAATTAGTAGGGCATAATTTGGAACCAAACCAAAGCATCTCCAATAGATGCCTAAAATTTAACTCCCAAAAATCTCAGATTGGGGTCATCCCAAAACAATTTGAGCCAAAAAATCACCTCCTTGTCCAAGAGCTTCCCTATTTTTAGTTCCCAAAAGCATTGAATAATGCCACATCATCGCTGGTGGGTCCTCTTCAACTGTTTCTAGCAATCTGGTTTCTCATGTCGCTACTAGGCCGATCGTTGGCAAGATCAGGGCATGGCAGGCCGATCGCGGCCACATAGTCGCTAGCAGGCTAGCAGGCAATCACCACAGAGACATGACGGTTAGGCGATCGGGGCATTGCAGCTGGGAGCCGGCAGCCCGGGCAGTGCGCGGCCAGCCTGCGACACGGTGAGGGTGCCAGCAGCTAGTAAGTCTTGCATTATGACACTATATTGTGGATCTAGGTCAAGTAAAGATTACACTATGACAAAGTTCTGGTTTGACGAACCAGATGTGCTGAAACTGAGCTCTCCAACAATCATGGATCTTGGGATGACTATAATTGGCAAATGCTTACAAGCTTTACTTGAATTTGAAAATGAGGACATAGTATAACCATAAACAGGGATCCCTGAAATCGCTACAAAACAAATCCCTTGAATTCATAATATCCGTGAATATATCTAGGTGAATTCCTAACAAATACATTGAATTTCTGAAGTTCAATTATGATTGCCAACAAACATTACCATTTCTAGCCCTCTCCTTCCCTGATTTGGTGTCACAAATCATCACAAGAATAAGGCTAGGTAATGCCCTCTCCTTTTCCCGAGTTATGTAAAAAGGCATAAAAATATTATTATTTACTGAAATTTTGACTGTACCACACGCATAATATGGTTTAGATTTTCAGACTACATTCTAAACCAGATTATTCAGTTCAGCAATGTCAGTACTACCAACGCCAAATTATTCAGCATCAAAGAGTTGATACCTTGCAGAATCTCTTGAAGCTTCAGTATGCAATTGCTTCATGACAGGCAGTGCAGTGTAGTGTTGCAAATTGAAAAACATCGAGCAAACTGAAAACCAAGTAAAGTGTTGCCCTCATCCGACAATTTAACCTCAAAATAATGATTTCTCAATCAACCAAAACTTAACACCATATTTGTCATTGTGTGCAAGAAAAATAGCAAATAGACATCCACCAAACAATATTCAGATTCAATTTGCTCTAGAAAAAGTACAACGATACACATAGTCAAAATTTTCTTTAGGTTCATTCAGTACTAGGGCTTGAGCAGCTTACAGATCGGCGGGTGGATCAGGATGACCTGCCGATAGTATGCAGACGGCCTTGGTGGTGCTGTGGAGACGACCCAGCGGCGTGGAGCGGTGAACAAAGATGGCCCTAGCGGCGTGGACGACAACGGCCACGACGGCGTGGATGGAGGTGTCGGTCTGGACAAAGACGAATGGAACGGAGAAAGCCCGACACCGGCAGGGTGGCGGCGTCTGATGCGAGCTAGGAGAGGGGACTGAGCGACGGCAGCAGGGCACGACGAGGAGAGGAGGGAGGAGGAAGAAATTGGCGCGAGCAAAGAAATCTACGTGTGATCGCTGCGATTGGGAACGCCCAGGGCTGCCCCAAATCTGACTCGGTTTTGGGACTGGATTGGGCGTGGGGGATTTTTGGGAGCAAGTTTGGGCAGCTGTTGGAGCTTTCCTTTGAACTAAAATCCTAAAATTTAATTTTTGGGGACCTGTTTAGGCATCTGTTGGAGCAAGTCTGTCTAATATTTTGATATGTTGTCAGTAGTGTTCTCATATTTGCTTCTGAGTCAGCTAGATAGGCGTATGCCACTTATTTGGACATGACTAGATAGAGACCGCACTCTATATTGTCTTAACCAGAGACTTATCTTAGACCTGGTTGCATACTAGTACACCAAATGATACATGTTTTTTTTTCTTATAGATTTTTCTTTTAAATTATTTATCCGATTTATAATCCGATTACACCATTGTGTTCGTTTAAATTAAATCTTTACAACAAGATCTTACATGACTATATTTTGATAAAAGAAATATCTATGTTGTAAATTAATTTTATTATATATGTAAGTTACTTTTATCATATATATAAATTACTTTTCGATTTGATTAAATTACTTATTATACAATCATAATGTTGTGAGTTGTTTATTTTATTATCCTTTTTAGTCAATTCTACAATTTGTGTTGATTAAATTTAGTTTTTAGATAGACTCACGATTTTACCTCCATAACGGATCTATTTTTAATGTCATGACAAAGTTACTTCCTTTTTGTCTTAAGTTACTTCTATAATATATGTAAATTACTTTTATATGTGTAAGAAGTAATTTAGTGAAATCTAAAAGTAATTTAGATATACTGTAAAAGTAATTTGTAATTTTTCATCAAAATATAATGATGTGAGATCTTGTTGTAAAGATTTAATTCTTACGAACACAACCGTACAATCGGATCGTAAATCGAATGAGTAGTTTAAGAGAAAATTTTATTTGAAACATAGGTAATAGGATTATATTTTCTACTTACTTGATGGGGACTAGTACTATTTAAGGCAGATAGGGTCTCTCGTTAGCACTAAAACGAGAGGCCTCTTGATTTAGATTTTGCCCACTTATTAGTTATTACGATGTTGTCCAGCTTCTCATCTTAAGCAAAACAATTAATGGAACTTTTTTGCTTCCTTCTTATCTATTTAAGTGGTCGAACAAAATACTGGAAGTGGCCACATATAGTAGCCTCCTCACCGCTTGCAACCTTGTCGTGTACGATGCTAATCGATAAGCCATGCGCTGACAGAGGCATAGAGCAGGTGTACATGAATAGCTACTACGAAAAATTATCGCAAAACAGAGTAAAAGCAGAGTGCTATCAGGATTCAGAAATACTCTCTGATAAGGTTGACATTACTGATCTTGTGGCTCAATCAAGAAACACAGACCCACACGTTCAACTGAGCGAGCAGTTCTCAGAAGGCTGCAACAGTAATGGCTTCCTTCAGATGTAGGAATACCCATTCCTGTATGTATAGTTTCCTGATGCCTCTGGTTCCAATTGATGGTTAGTGTATATATACGCTGCTGCTGTATTTTCTAAGAGGGGTTTTACAGTGCTTGGGAGGTACCTGGGGTACCTCCTAAGCCAATTAATACCAACCGTTGATTCTGAAAGGATAATTTAGGAATAAGAAATATTGTTAACGCGGGTAGATTAGTAATTACTCAACCCCCTACCCATCGACTGGCCAGCGACATCCTATGCCGATGCTGAGCGCCGGTGCATAGGGCGTACGGCGGTTGATCTAAAGGTAGCAGATGCAGAGAGAAGAAAGAGAAGTTATCCCTCATAGGATCTGAACCAGAAAAGGTACTTGCAATGGATATTGGTAGAAATGAGACGAGGAGGTGAAACATATATATAAACACTGGTCTAGAAATCCTTAGCCAAAAACCGACACATCTGAGTCATTTCCCATCGAGCCTAAGCCATGCACATGTAGGTGGTGAAAATGAAGAATCAACAGATATATATTTGCGTCTTGTTAGATAAGCTTTTCAAGATGTATCTTATAAAGGCAAACTCTATATTAAAATTGTACCACTTCATGAGTATTAGAATTAGATTAGATTTGTATAGCCTAGATACTGTATGTGCACATCTAGGCGCCACCCCGCTCTCGCCGCGTTCTCCCCGCGCCACTCCCCTGCATCGTGCCGCTTCGGCCGTGTTCTCGCTGCGCTCCCGCTGTGCTCCCACTGCGTCGTGACTGTGCCACGTCTTCGCCATGTCTACCGGGTCCACCAGATTCTCCATGACTTCGGGCAGCACGGCATCAACATCTTCCGGCTCTTCTCTGACCTCCGCCGCCAGCACCGGGGAGTCCATTGGTGCAATCTTCGTCAATCCATATGCCGCCATCAACGTCAAGACTCACATCCCAATCACCCTGGAGCTCAAGCATCCCAACTTTACCAAGTGGAAGGCCTTCTTCATCTCCATGTGCAGCAAATTTGGTCTTCTTCCTCACATTGACGGCAATGCTCCTCCTCGACCCGACAATTCGGCTTGGGGACAAGCCGATGTTGTGTTCAAGGCTGGCTCTTTGGCTTCGTTTCAGATGCCATCCTCGACATCGCCATGGAACCCGAACAAACATCCCGCGATCTATGGCTCGCCATCGATGATCTCTTTCATGTGACCAAGGAACCCCGCGTCATCTATCTCAGTCATGAGTTCCACTCGATGACACAGGGCAACTTGTCAATTGCTGACTACTGCCATAAGGTGAAGACCGCCGTCGGTGCCCTCCTCGACTTCAGCCACCCCGTTCCTGAGTCTCAGCTCATCCTCAACCTACAAAGTGGCCTCAACCCACGTTTCTCCAGCACCGCCGACCACATCGCTGGTGCCCCCATCCTGTCGTCCTTCACTTCGGCGTGCAATACATTGTTGCTCAAGGAACTTCGCATTGCTAATGACCACAAGGTCTAGACCGAGGCAGCCACGGTGGTAGCTGCCTCCTCTGCCAACACTTGTGCCTCTGGCACTTGCGCCGCCTCTTCCTCGTCGCAGCCTCGCGGTGGCTGCAGTGGCTCCAAAAACGGACGGAAGCGCAACCAACGACGCAATGGCGGACAGAACAACAGCGGCGGCGGCGGCACCGGCGATCGATAGAACTACGACGGCGGTGGCGGCTATGGAAACTCTGGAGGCAGCTTTCAGCAGCAGCAGCAAGTGTTGGCATTAGCTTCGCGTTAACGACCCATGGTTCTGCTTTAATCCATGGCCCATGCAGCAGCAGCCTCCCTGGCGGCCCCCTGGCAACGGTGCCGGGTTGCTTGGGCCTTACCATCAAGTCCACACGGACTTTGCCGGCCCATACGTCTCTTCACCAACTCCGGGCTGGCCTCAAATGCAGCAAGCTTAGCCCAACAGGGATCAAACAGGTCTGGTTGCTGCCCTCAATCAGTTGTCCGTGAGCAGTCCAAATCCCTGGGTGCTTGACATAGGAGCTACTTCACACATGTCCACCATCGATGGTATTCTTGTTACTTGCCTCCCTAATTCACATACTTTTATTACCGCTGGCAATGATCATACTATTCATGTTATATGTCATGGCACATCTTTTCTACCTATAGGAACCACTAAGTTTGCTCATAGAAACATCCTTCTCACCCCTTCTTTGGTTTGAAATGTACTTTCCGTTCATCAATTCACCCACGACAATAAATGTTTTATTGAGTTTGATGAGTTTGGTTTTTCTGTTAAGGACCTTCGGACCACACGCGTGATTCGTCAATGCAATAGTTGGGGTGACCTCTACACCCTGACCACTGCCGCCCCTGCTATCGCCGCCAACAACTTCCTCGCCGAATCCTCCACATTGTGGCATCGTCGCCTTGGTCATTCTAGTTCAGCTGTAATCTAGACTCTTCTCAAATTAACTATTCTTCCTTGTACTAAGACAGATCATAAATTGTGTCATGCTTGTCAGTTAGGGAAATACACGCATCTATTTTTTCTCGGTCTCATTCTAGTACCTCTTCTCCTTTTAAACTTGTTCATTGTGATGTGTGGATCTCTCTTCTGTCTTGAGTACTTCTGGCTTTAGGTATTATTTAGTGGTGCTTGATGATTTTAGTCACTTATGTTGGACTTTTCCACTTTGCCATATGTCTGATGTACACCAGCGTCTTGTTGAGTCTGTTGCCTATGATAAGACCCTGTTCGGCCTTCCCATTAAGTGCTTTCAGGCGGATAATGGTACCGAGTTTGCTAACCAAGCCACCAACTCGTTCTTCGCTAGCCACATCACCATGCTTCGCCTATCATGCCCTTACACCTCCCGACAAAACGGAAAAGCCGAATGCATGCTTCGCACTATCAACAACTCTATTTGCACCCTCCTTATCCAAGCATACATGCCTACATCCTACCAGGCTGAAGCTCTAGCCACTGCCACATAGTTACTCAATCGACGACCCCCTACTGTAGTCTACAACTCCATCCTGTTCCAAATCTTGCACCGCAAAGTTCTTGACTATTCTAACCTTAGGGTTTTTGGTTGCCTTTGCTATCCTAATCTTAGTGCCACGACTCATCATAAACACTCTCCTCGGTCAGCTGCCTATGTTTTCCTTCTCTAACCGGCCTCTCACAAAGGCTATGAGTCTTCATATCTCGTCATGTGGTTTTCGATGAACAAACGTTCCCATTTGCAGCTATTCCCCTGGCCGCTCTTCTGTCGATTTTCTTCTACCGGGTGCTTCTACAGCGGTAGCTCCGTCCTCCTTGGACGTTGAGCGTTTGCGCCCTCTGCCGGCCGGTCCCTCCCCCGAGGTCAAGTCGCCGATCTCCGATGACTTGGCCGGCCCTGATATAAATCAGCTTGTCCAACACAGCAGACAGATGCCATCATCGCATACTCCGGACCAGGTTGCCTCGTCGCCTAGTGCGCCCTCTGGTGACGACTCTTGTCCTACGGGCAGGAGCATCTCCTCTTCATCACCAACCAGAACAGTCTACATTGAGCTCTTCTGCTGATCGGCAGCCCGTTCGGCAGCCCATTTTGCATGGTGTTGCTCCTGCCCGACCGTTGATCTCTCCGTATCGACATACGTATATATCATGTTGGTGTTCCAGAACATACGTATATATTCAGAAACAATATATACGGAAGTTGGCTTTCAGAAACAATATATATCGGCATAAGTATTGATAGAGAGAATAGATGTGGAAGTATACTTACAGAAGTGGAATACAAGATGATGACAAAAGAGAAAGAGAATTGTCACAATACCTGTATTTCAGAACAAATATGAATAGTAGTTTGCCTTTTACTTGAAAAATGATCCTAATTACAATTCAGGATTAGAAGACAAATATGACAAATTCAGCATTGCAAGCAGGCATCTGAAACAATAACAGGCATTTTGTTGGGTAAATTTGTGCAGCCTAGTTTGTTTGCTTTGAAAATAAAACAATTCATTTTAGCAAACAGCCATTACAGTAGAGTAGCAACAAAAACAGGCATCTTAAATTATGGCCTTGCATAAATCTAGCTAGGTATTTCTTGGGTATTGCACAACAATTGGATATACATGAATATTCATTGGTCGTTGTGTTTTGCAGCTCAAAATTAGTTAAGTACAATAACCATGTTATTAATTGCCAATTTGTTGCCAGAGAAGCTCAGTATTTGGGGTACTATTATAGTCATCCTGCTGACGAAACTAATTAATTATGATTCCATGTCCTATCTTACGTATAAATCTACTAGAAAATCGTGACAATATTTTACTTTGTATTTTTTAGTTCCTTAAGTATATATGATTCTGGTTTTCAGAATATGCATCGCATTTCCAGAGTATGAACATATGTAGTAGGACATATCATCATGTAGTTTCACATGCGTAGCCATCACACAATTGTCAGCTTCGAAAATCAATAGCTGTGCATAAATCATAGATGGGATCAAATTATTTTAGAATTAGGGCCAATGAAATTGTTTCACATCGGGGGCATGTGCTATATATGTCATGCCAAAAAGGAAAAGGTTCACATACAAATATTTAGTACAACTGAAAGCTAAATTGAGGGTATGGATTTATGTATATATTCAGTTGTTTCCTTGCTCACACATACTTCCATCAAACAGGTTAATTTCCCCGCTTGCGTTACATGGTTATGTTTATCCTCTTTGTGCAAAAAAGTCCAATACTGAATCCAGTTGTCGGCCCTGTAGATTTCTTACATAGGAGAACAAAATTTTGTATTGTCAAAACACGTTGTCAAAATTTTTGTTTACCCTGTATAGCCACATTCCAAAGATATTAAAAGTACTATCAGGTGGTGGAAGAACAAAAGCTATTTTAGTTGCATCCCAAATAAATTTAGCAAAAGGGCAGTAATAAATAGATGTTCTCATGTTCTGCAGCTCAAAATTAATTATGTACGATAACCATGTCGTTGATGCCATTTTTTTTTTCGAATGATTACATGTCATTCCTGTGGGGAAATGGGAGTAAACACATCTAGCTACGGCAAAACCATGATAATAATATTTTGTCAATGATCATCTTTCTTACGTATAAATGATTCTGATTTCAGAATGTGCATCTCATTCCCCCGGTTTATTTGTTTTGCGAAACAAGAATATATATAAGTGGGTCTTAACATCTTGTAGTTTCACATGCGTAGCCATCACACGATTGTCAGCTTCGAAAACCATTGGCTGTATATAAATCATAGATTAGATCAAATTAATTTGGATATGGAACCAATGACATGGTTTCACATGGGAGACATGAGCTGTATATGCATGTCATGCCAGAAAAAGAATGGCTCACATACAAATATTTAGTACAACTGAAAGCTATTCCGAGGATAAATATGCCTTTTTTTCCATGCTCGATCATATATTTTTTCTGAAAGCCAACTTCCACCACCCCCAGAAAATAACATCCTATACCAGCCCATTGTTTCTGATGGCATTATTACAACATGAACAGCTAGCTTGTGGCACCATTCAGATGGGCAAAAATTCTGTGCCAACTATTTATATGCAAAATATGCTTACATAAATCTCCTTGGTACATCATTAGTTTCCTGGTTTTCTGACAGAGAATTTGCACTTGCTTCAACTTTCTTGACATATTTAAATTAATTGTCGATATGGTTATCTAGCATTCTTTTGACTGAACATGATTTATTTCAGATTTACGCATCCTTTGGAACACATGAATTTCATTAGAATTTGTTGAGAATCTCACCTGCAAGTTCATCGTGAGGAACTAGAATTTTCAATATGCATGAAATTAGTTGCAAAAGAATTGGTATAATAATTTTCTGATGAGTCATCGAGGTAAGGGAACCATAAATTAGCTCAATTTTGTTATGTACTACGTACATATAGATCAGTACACAAATGTTCTATATAATGGAAGATAAACATCTCAGCCTCCGCACTGTGACATGCAGATAGCCATGTCTTATTAAATGGTGGTAGTTTTTAGCTGCCACAACAAAATTGTGTATAGCCAATGGAAACAAAACTTATGTGAAATAAACAAAATAAGCAGATATTATATTACTAAATTTCTATCCATGTAGACTAAAAAGAGAATATGTTGTTCTTACATGGTCCCATCCTCCTCGTTTTGCAACAAAGCATCATACCTAATCTAGTGCGTGGTGATTCTGAAGATTACCGTTGGCTACAAATTTGTATTGTCTAACAAGATATTATTGTGACTTAGCCATATACCTCAAAATTTAGCGCTTGTCAAAACCAAAATTTGATTCTTTAGCTTTTAATTTGTTTACCCGGTATAGTTACATTGCCCATATTGTAGAAATACTATCGTCTGGTGGAAGACCAAAAGCTATTTGAATTGTACACCAAATAACATTTAGCAAAAGGGCGATAAAAATAGATGTGTGGTACTCTTTCTTTAGAATTACAAAATGCGACATTTGGATCTATACGTCTGTAACTGTCCTTTTGGCTAAATTATCTTTGGTTAGGATTACTCCAGTAACATTTGAAACCTTTATTTTGAGGGAATTTTCACATTCCATATATAGCGGTCCATTATTTGTCAATCCTCTATATATATAGAATGAGCTTTGAACCATCCATACTGGTGTAAAAGACTATCAAAAAGTGTCATATTGGTAATTGAGTTCTATTTCCATTTTTTTATCTACAAGCTCACTATATCTCTTCGTAAAGAATATTTTAGAGGTTTATAATTTAAAACCTCCGTGACTGTTGCACTTTGGTTCGTTACAATGCAATATATCATTTGATATTGATGTTTTTTATTTTTTCACACAATAGCATGTTATAATTAATTAGTAGCATCACAACCTATATTCAGACTCTTAAATGGATATTCACGATATACAAACCTAGTCGGCACTATTGTAACTCATTTTCTATACCCTATTATAGAACCAAAGTGGTCACGGTTATAGTGAATCAGCTACACCACCTCCTACTGATATTCTAACAGGTGCCACCTCCTCCTTACATCATGATAGTTAGGACCATACCATCCTTAATCTAGAGCATTTATTACATCCTATGGCTTTAGGTTCAAGGTAAATAAGGGCATGTATATAAGGGACGCTTGCACCTTTGATAAACACTAACACCATGGCCGCAGATATATAGTGAGCAAAGGAGAACATTATCCGGAGTTGCCTTTTTACATAGTAAAAAGCCTTTTTTTTTAATGAACGATGGACATGAAGATTGATGGGTCAAATTTAGTACCTCTATGATGATTTTTTTGTATATTCACAACCCTAGTGAGGTCTGCTGCTTTGCCAGGACACTCGTATTTTATACCGTTTAAATATAACACGGTTTTTGCACATTATACATCATTTTGTGTAACTTTTCAAATCATTATAAAACTGGTGGGTGCCCACCTTAACATGATAAGGCAGTGCCACATGATAGTACATGCGTGAGAATTATAATTAATGTAGATAGGCTACACCTGACAGACAATAGAGTATGTCCTTAAAATTTCATGGTATCACAGGTGTACAACTAGGACTATGCATATATTGTTAAGGTCCACTTGGAAAATCTTAATATCTCAAAAATTTCTTCAGGCATGTACTCCGTGTATTCTATAAATACATCCTCCCTACCATTGTTTCCCCAACAAAATATAGGCAAATACAGCATCCCTACTACTCTTTTATATCCTTGCTCACCAGTGCCAACATCACAGCCATGGGTAGTCTGTGTGGCACCATGATTATCATCTTGGCCATGCTGCCAGCAATCCTAACTATGGCTGATCCATACTGTGACTGTGATTGTCCCCAGCAATGTGAAGTTAAGTTGCACTATTACTTGCACCAGTTCCGTGCTGGAGCAAACCATCCAAACCGCAATGAAGAATTCGTGACAAGTGGAGGACCCTCTGGATTAGGCGCTGGGCTTATTCATGACTGGAGTTTAACCACTGGACTTGACCCCAATGTAAATATTGTTGGACGTGCACAAGGATGGCATATCGTTGCCAGCCAAAGTTCCCCAGCTAATTGGTACCTTTCCCAGAATATAGTATTTCAGGACAGGTAAATGCTACTCACTTTTTAGATGGACTATATACTACTTTTCCATTGGCTTGTATCATTAAATTCCAACATCTCCATGGTACTATTATAGTAAGTATGCAGGGTCTACGCTTCAGGTGATGGGAATCATTGAAGGAAGTGAAGAGAAAGTTGGAGAGTGGTCTATTGTGGGTGGGACTGGCGAATTTACTAATGCGCGTGGTAATATCAAGTATAGAGCTATCAAGAAGGAAGATGTTGAGTGGATAAGGGAACTTGATATTCAGGTGTTCTACACTCCGAACACTCCATCAGATGTAAGTTTCTTATCAAGTACAGCTGTTGCAACTCTTTTACAGGTTGTTTGGTTGGAACAGTGGGATATATGATGGCCTACAAAGTTATTGTTATATGCATATTTCATATATATTTGTACTAGCTATAGATAAAGTTCACAAGACAAAAGAAAATACATGCATGGATGTTAGGAAGAAAAACTATATTTTCTGAAAGCTGATCACCCAAGTTGAGCTGATAGCTAGGCCAGTACCGGGCCATGAAACTTTTTGAATAATGGTAACTCGATCAACTGAGAAACCTCAGTACATGTACCATAAGAATTTTGCTTTCTTTCAGGACGATCAATTTAAGTTAAAATTTCAAAACTCCTACCACCAATCTTGTTTTTGCATGAACACATATCACATAAAGCAAAGCTTTCATTTAGTGATTGTTTACTTTCACTTAATCTGTTGGTGAAAAGCTGTTACTGTCCTGATATTTATATTAACCATTATACACTAACACCTTTTTTTCATTTTAAAGGTTCAAGTTGCAAAGAATATTACGAAGGGGAACTAATCTGCAGGCACGCAGTGATCACCGGTCAATGAATCTCCAGCATGCATGAAAAATTTGATCAAATAAACTATTTCTTTCCACATATCAATGTTTTGCGATGTGATTTGAATGTATTGTATTTTTTTCCTTACGCCATTGGAGTTTTTCTGCCAATCTGGCAACTGTTATATCTTTTATCTGAAAATAAATGTTGTATGTGAGATAAGCAACACCAGATTCATGTTACAGTGCTTGTGATTGTCTACTAATAATTATTACTCTTCTCTTTGTGTAATTGTGATTGTCAACATAAATTTACAGTGATTGTGTTTCCTAATGCAAATATTTTACTTATAGAGTGGAGTACACCTTAGAATATTACCATACTTTCTACTGAGTAGCTTCGACTCTTTCAATTCTCAAAACCAAGAGCTTCTCCTGATATGTTTTGGTATCTAAGTCCTACTGTTGGGAAGTTTTCTCATTTGTAACATTTCATCCCATTTGTAGCTTTAATGTAGCCTAGTTGAGGCCCATGCGACCGATAAGTGCCTGTAATAGGTTGCTACTTCCACCTTAAAAATTTTGGTTGCTAAAGAACAACTTATAAGCTATGGGTTAACCCTTTTACCCGAAAAGGGAGGACACCTGTGTAAGTAGGACACTGCTAATAAATGAGTCCACTACACACAGGGGGATGGAAGTGTAAATACCGTGTAATTAAGGTGTTATGTATACGTGGGTATTCTATATGTTAAAACAAACTATTTTGGGGTCTTCTATATGTTAAAACAAAATATTTGTCATTATTACTATTACAACTATTATCATCATCATCATCATCATCATCATCATCATCATCACACTATTTATCCAAGGAATTGGGTCTCATTTGAACCTAATTATATTTAAAAGACTTTGTAAAGTAAACGGTGGACAGTTTTATAGTGAACATAAATTGCAAATATTATGGACATTGAAATCATTTGATACATGAATACCATGGATTAGCTGGGATTTATTAAAGAAAAGATCATAAAACATTTCGATTAGAGCAACTTTTGCTCCTGTTTTGGGAGCCCAAGATACTACAGCCTAGACTAATCTGATGCATAGCCCAGTTGTTTCAGGGCCTGCTTGCCCTTTGGCAGCCCTGCACGCTCATCAGATAAGCAGGAACTTGAAAAGTTATAGAGCAGAGATGACAGATCAGCACTTCAGCATGAAGGAACGACTTTTGTAGCCTTGTTCATCAGTAAGGATCAACCGTGAGAACCATCATCTTGGACAAGCAGTACATGTTCTTTGCGCACTGCCTTGAAGGAAAGGAGCGCTTCTACACCACCCAGGGGAACAGGGATCGTTTAGAGGACACAATCTACAAGCAGCCTCTACGGCCACCGACCAAACAGTCTAACTAGCAGTTCCTCAAGGGCGTCATATTGGATTGGTGATTCACTGATTCTGAATTTGATCATGATCCAATACCCACCAGTGGCATGAAATTTCAAGAAATTCAGAAATTGTTACCTCAAATATCACATCCTGCTCACTGCTTGATTCCAGATGCCGCCCTTGTCTATGTTTTCACTGTTGTTGATATAAATTGCTCAGCAAATTGCACTACATGATAATTGTTTGAATAGGGGGGAATTCGGTCGGTAGAATTCAAGTTGAAACTGATGCTTGTTTAGTACATGCCCTGATTTCCTCTTGGTTTTTTTCCGTACGGAATATCATGTGCGTATTGGAATTAGTCTCTATAGACAGAAGGTGTGGGTATGTGTCAGGATATGTAGGTGACTTATATACACTCCTATATTTCAATTCTCACAACCACCCATGACTTTGAAATTGCTGGCGATATTGACCATCCTTGATTTCACAGAAACGGAAACATTAACTCGTTTCTATTACCAGAAATGGACAATAACCCAGTGTTTTACAGCGTTCAGCAGCAACTACGACTACTTTGCTATCGATCAGGAGGTGCCGTCCTACCCAGGGTTTTCATTTTCGAGATGGTGGTATTTGCCGGAGGGGGTTGAAAGAACGGTATTTTTTGACCGAGATTATTTGAAGATTTGATGAGTTTTAAATGAATTTGAATAAACTTTGACAAATGTCACAAAAATTTAGAAAAACCGAATATTTTGGGCAAGATATGTGCTCGCTCTTGGGCGGAAATCCTGTTGGCGATCGATCGCCCTGGGAATGGATCAGCGATCGATCCCCTCCCCCCTCCCTCCCTCCACCCTTCCACCTAGTTTTCTTTTTTTGGCACCGCATTACTTTCCTATTTTAGTAAATTTATACACCTAAAGTTTATACACCTCAAGTTTACACATCTAAAGTTTAGAGACTAAAAGTTTATAAGTCAAAAGTTTAAGTTTATAGACCTAAAGTTTATATTTATAAGTCAACAGTTTATATACCCGTTTCAAATTTGAATTTGAATTATATCTGATTCAAATTTGAATTTCAATTCAAATATTTTCTATATATAGTATTTCTATACATCTAAAGTTTATAGACCTAAAGTTTATAGATCCAAAGTTTATAAGTCAAAAGTTTACACACCCGATTCAAATTTGAATTTGAATTATATCTGATTCAAATTTGAATTTAAATTATATCCGATTCAAATTTGAATTTGAATTCAAATATTTTCTATATATAGTATTTCTATACATCTAAAGTTTATACACCTAAAGTTTATAAACCCAAAGTTTATAAGTCAAAAGTTTACATACCCGATTCAAATTTGAATTTGAATTCAAATATTTTTTATATATAGTATTTCTATACATAAATTTTTCTAACTTTTGTTTTTTAAAAAAATTTGTGTGGTGTACTGTAGTAGAAAGAGAAGAAAGGGAGGAGTATAGAGGAGGCGGGGCCAACCGATCGCTGCGCGATCGCCCATTAGCCTCCCCCGCTCGTGGGGGCCAAAACCGAAATTTTGTTCCGAAATTGCAATCACTGGTCCCATCTCCCATGCTTAGAAAAAAAAAAAAAGGTTGTTAATAGACAGAGCAAGGACTAAACGAGTTATTGATATGTCAGGAAGTAAATATATGGCCGTGAGTCTTGTGACATATTTTGCCTGGGAATAAATGCTGTTGCGATGCCTCCTCTTCATTATGTTTCAAGATTTTGCATTTCGATTCAATGTCATACCCTTGGTTGAAAGGAATGTGCACTAGTGTTTCAACAATTCAGTTTCAATTGCTCATGCGATAATTCTTTCCCTCACAATCCACTTATATTAAGAAACAAAACAATGACACAACTACTGGCATGTCGTGATGATCATACACACAGTACTTCATTATTTCTAACTTGACTTGACTGCTGGAGAACCCGAATAGCCATAATGTTTTCATGAAAGAGGTAGCAAGTAAATCGATAATTTGAGATGTAGGAGGTTCTTGAATGATGAAAGAGGTAGCAAGATAAATGGTCCGCCATTCATGCTTGATGTGTTGTGTGTGGAGTGGATGTTGCAGAATGACAGTGAGGCTGGCCTACTACAGCTGGATTCATTCTGCTAAGTCGCAGCCGCCTCCGGCCTCCGGGCTCGCCGCCGCCCTCTCTTCCCGCCGCTGTGCTTGCATCCCGTGTCGACCACCGAGCTTGCATCTTGCCACCGCCGGGCTCACCTCTCGCACTGGTCACTGCATTCGACCCTCGCACCAGCCGCAGCCTCACTCGCGTCGTCGTTGTTTTTGCTTGGTAAGGCGTGGTGCGACCCACCTTGGTCGCTTGCCCTGCTGATACGGCCGGCAATAGGGCGGCTGCATCGGGGAAAATCATCCGGATGCCACCATCCGGCATCTAAGGGGAATATTCTTCTCCGGGCCGCCGTATCCCGACCCTGCCCACCAACCAAACACACATGAAAAACACAAGGCTGGCTCTACAATTTCAAGGGTCCTAGAGCAAACTTGATGCTGTAGGCCCTTAATATGTGTTTTCTATTTACATATTTTTAAACCATATATATTCTGATGAAATAAACATCTAACATCTTCTATATACAACCAAAGAACATCAAAATGGAGCTAATATGAACACCTTAAATAAAGGTCAAACTCCAACTGTCTAGCGACTCCATCAATAATACCTCACAAATGAAGAGATGACAAACATCCATGGCTTCTTACGAAAAAATACACTCGTTTAAATATTTTTTGATGCAGAATCTTTAAAAAATATAACGAGATTAATGTTATCCATCGCATTTTTCTCAACGTAGCACACAGCCAAGCCTTGTCGTAGGGCCTAAACATATAGTATGTTCTCGTGATAATTTGGCCTCTCACTGAGCATATGAGATAGTTAAGAGACATACTCGTTAGTTACTTCAATACGAACTCACTCAAGAATAGTACCTGAAAACTGAAGGTTTGCCTAAGCATAGCTATGCCATCCCGATGCATCGCAAGACTACACCGGGTTACCAAGTTCCTTACGACAACCTGTCATAGCCATCCAACCAAAGCGGGATAAGGAGGAATATTCAACCCTAGGAAATTGTATGTAGGGATATAAACTGCGGGGGAGACACCCGTACTGAGCGCCAAACTTCTCGGCACTACTCCAAAAAAGCTACATTCATCGAGGTAGAAGTCGGAGAGAGTGCCAAATTTCTGAGCACTACTCCAGAGCTTTCCCTCACTCTACCTATTTCTAATGTACAAAAGATACAATAGAGACTCTTGTAATTTAGCAAGTTGTGTATGAGTGAAGTGAGAGCCTCACCTCCTTTTGTAGGCTCCAAATGATGGTTACAGGTGTGGGAAATGACCAATGTGCCCTCCAACCGTCATTAGGACTTCATCAGCAACGTACACATGGAAAGCTGGCGATCAACGGCCACAACACTGGTTCGGCCAAACCAAAAAAAATGTCTTCCCGGCCCCTCCTTTGGCCGGTAGGTATCTTAATGGGCCCCCAACATCATGCATTATGTCAAAGCCCTATTCTAAGTGGTTTTAATTGAGTTATGGTGCCTCCAATCCGTGTAAACGCGTCCTGATCGTGCAGATGTGTATTTTGTCATGTTGGGTGTGTTTTCTCCTTAAAATACCTACATACACATATATACCAACACTAGTGGAAATGATTAGTAATAAACCCTACCACTAAGTTGAATATATTTTATTCCAATATATGCATGTATTGACGGTAAGATATTATGATTTAAGGACCGTCAACACAAATCCTACAGACAATTTTCCTATTTGGCCTTCGACAAAGCATTGGAGATTTCCAAATCCTATGAAATTTCTATGGAATGGTTTATTGCATGTAGATTTTGAAGGAATGTTAGCAAAAGCTTCAACCTGTTAGAAAATTTCCTTTGAATGTAATTCTCTCACCCAATTCCTATATTTTTCCTATGGTTCAAACACATGGTCGTTCCTGTGTTTTTCCCGCGTTTTGTAATCCTCTATTTTACACTTGCTTTCTTATCAGAAACCTGTGTTTTTTCAATTACTATGCTTTTCCGTTGCTGTGATTTTATTTTACCGAAACAATAAAGATAATTATGCTATGGCTGGCAGGGTTTTCCTCCCTATAACCCAGCCCCCTAATGGCATAACCACAACTCGATCATCAGGTCAATATAACACCTGGCGAATATAATTCCCGAAAAAGGGAGAAGGCCTAAACCTGTCTAAACCTTATTCCATTTACTCGTCAAAATTTAGATCTCGTGCGCTAGCCCTTTTTCATTGCCTATTTCTAGGATCAACATAGCTGGTCAATTATATATCCGCTGGATTCGTTTTGTTTCCTTTTCTTTTCACAGCCAACCTCTTTAACAGAGAGGATTAAGCGCTACTTGATGCCCTTTGGTGCCTGTTTCTCTTTTTTTTTTTTCATTCTCAACTTTGTATCTGTTTTCAACAGAGGATATGGTAATCTATCTATCTGTTATATTGTTGATATAAAATTCATCATTCACACGAAGGCCTGGGAGATTTACGTAGCTCCAGTACAAATCTTATCAATAGGGTTTAGGATGTACCAGTTAGTTTGATCCTAGAACTAATAAGATAGATAGATGGATCGTATAAAATCAAAGAGTCGATTGGGCAATAAGTCGATGGGATGTAGCGAGGCAAGCTGATGTTAATAGGGTTCTGATCAATCGGCTATAATAATACAAAATGAAAATAAGTATTATATTATCGTAAATCATTGTACATCCTCTAAGTGCACTTAAGGCGTCATGTGTTACGCCTTGAATAAAAATAAAACTTTACAAACTGGAAGAAAAATCATCTGACCATCAGTTTCCACTTAAATAGGTAGATCCATTACTTTCAACCAATAGATATACTTTTTAGAAAATCTTAAGCCCCAATGTGTTATGTCTTAAAAATTAGAAAAAATAACAAAAAAATTGAGAAAAAAATAGATCATCGGTTTTACTTAAATAATTTAGATAAAATAGCAAAAAACACCCCTCCACTTTGCCCTCTCCCCAAACATACGCACAACACAGCACTACTCGTCCCATCCCTTCTCGGCTTGAGCTCTCCACTCTACCCCTTCGTGTTTATATAGCCAAAAGTAATCAAAAATATTAAAACATGCATAAATTTGAAGCTATGCATCTCATTTCTAATCTAAATATTGTTGTATTTATAATTAAAACAATGATTTAAAGATCCAAAAATCCTATATTTTGAACTAGTATAAAATATAAAATAAAGCAGGTAATAGAAAATGTAATAAGTTCGTAAAAAAATGGGTTCTTACATTACACTATAATTGGACCAACCATTGCATGTTCCATTTTCATAACAACTTTAAAATACTTAGACATTAATGATCTTACATCTATCCTATATCATAGCATTATGAGTTTCTCCACATATCATTATATATATAAACCGCACTAAGGTTCGCAGTATATAGTTATTTGAAAAGTTATATTTGTTAGTATTAAATTTAAAATTTTGGATTCATGTTAACTAGGTATATTTTTTTGAAAAAGATAGTATAGATCGCACAAATCAGAAGGAAGCGAGGTATATGACATGTCTTTATTAATTTATATGTAAGTATGTAACAATTTGCATTAACTTAAACCTACTAGAAGAACTACTTGATGGTACAAATAAAACATATTTATTAACAATATAGTTCTTTAGAATTTGTAAAAAAAAAGCAAGTAAACATTCTATCAAAAAAAGGGCCAAGCACCTTACTTCTAATTTACACTTGATTTTTTAGACATGTTTTCCAAACAAACTAAATCGAACTTCCTTCTATATAATAAAGAGATCATAGATAATTATTTATACAGATATATTAAATATGATATATTTTTAAACCTAATAAATATCTTGGAAAAATTATCAAAGCAAATTGCAATGTACAATCAGGGTTGGAAATTTCGGTCATTTTAGACCCCTCTGATACGATATTATTTCGGCCAAAATTTTGGTAATATTTGTTCAAATTCAACTATTTTTTTCAAAATTTCGAACCGAAATTTCAGAAATTTCGGTGATGCATGCTCAAATCAGCTAAACCGAAAAGTTTAATCCCGTGTACAATACATGCCGGCGCGAATGCACGGGCTACCTTCCTAGTTAAGTGAAAGGTTATATCGTGAAGCACAACTAACTTGTAGTCAAGACTACATCTTATAGATAAAGTTGTACATATCTAATCAGAGTATAAAAATGGATGTACTACTATGTAAGGAAGCATTTGCATCAGAGCACAAAAACTTTCAGAGACACACCAATGTGACGCACAGTAGTTTCGCAAAGATTTGTGTTTGGGCTTGGGTTCAAAGGCTAGAGCAATTAATCATCAATTAATTCTTCTTTTGGTCCACAAGCTGCTGCGCTTGTTTCACGAGGGAAGCGAGAGTACTGATTGGCTTCAATGAGCCCAGATTACGAATGACTTGAAATACCTTTCCTCTGTAATAACCACTGGTGAGAAACATAGAGCCGTCGATATGTCAGACATGGTCTTGGAAGCAAGTGACAGAGACTGCATCAAGCTCTGCAAGTCTTCATCCACATAGCTGCCTTCATTTTTCATCATTGATATGACCATCTTAGTGGTGTGTTGAGCTATTCTAAGGCTGTCGACCTTAGGGTCATTGTTTGTTTCTACAATCTCCTTGAGCTTCCTCCAAACGCTAAATTTATCAACTCCATGGCAAGTCGCATAGAACTGTTGATTCAGATCTTGATATGAAAATGTGAATTTGTCACAGATAGTCACACAAAGCTGCAACAAGAATTGGATGCATTGGCTCTTCATATTGAAATTTGGTACGTGAGATGACAAACTGTCATTATCTTGTAAATAATCACTTGGGTTTTCGATGTCGGTTTCTTGTGCTACTATGGACCTAGGTTCCGTTTCTGTTTGCAGTTCTTGTCCTGTTGGCCTACAATGAAGGACTTCTGCAAGAACCTGAGATGGTAAGGACTTTTAATCTGACAGTGGTAATAAATCTAGGCAGGATCAGGCCAATTTACATATGATGCTAATCAAAAGGCAGCAGGTCTGGAGGGAACTTACCTTTGGCATTGCCTTGGTCATCACTCCCTTCAGGTTCTGGAGACATTCATCGTCTTCGGTGTAATTGGCACATAGACGCTCTAGAATTACTGCTGTAGCTACTCTGAACAATATGATGTTGTCACGGTCTAGGAGAATTTTTACGAGATTATCAACAGAGTTATTGTTTGCTTTCATGATGATCATGGCACTACCTTCCATTTTGGAAGAAAGCATCACCAGTGCTTCAGCTGCTGCCGCCGCTCTGACGCCAATACCCCTGCTACAATCACTGAACGCGCATAGCAGCATCTGGACGAATTCTTCCCTGCTTGCGCAATCCTTACCTGAATCCACAATCGCCAGTGCAGCGAGGATCTCCATGGCTAGCATTTGCAGCTTCTCGCCGCATTGGTCACACTCGAGAATAGCTTCCATGGCGCTTATTGCTTTCTTGTTGCCTAACATTTCATGGCGCAGGTCGGTGCCAGCTTCCCCGGGAGCGTCCACGAGCAGGTTCATAACTTGCAGAGACTTGGACATTATCTTGGACCAAGCGCCATGGCCGACGCTGTGAAGTAGGTCCAAGCTGACGGGCGCAATGAGCTTCGCAATCAGACCACGTGAGTTGGCCATGGCCGTGCGGTTGACGTCGTCGACGGCGAGGGCCCCGAGGATCAACATGCCAAGGAACATCATGTCTTTGCAGTGATCATCATCTTTCTCATCACTCTCAGGCGAAAGACGGTCAGGCCGATCATGTTCTTGATCACATCCTCTACTACTCTTCCATGTCTCCATTAACCATTCGCGCTCGTACGGCTCCAGAACCGTGCTTCGACCATACGCCTCCGGTAGCCAGGCTGGTCGCCGGCGATCATGCGACAGGCAACATTGCCCGTATGGGTCAAGCAAGGAAGATATGCAATGGATCCCTCGTCGGAACTGCTCCACCAGGATCTCGCCGGCGACGTGGAGCACGATCGTCGCAGCACACTCCCGGATCCTCCTGTTGTATGGGCTTCTCGGCCCCAGCGTCACGAGCAGCCTGTGAACAATGTGACCGAACGATGCCGATGCAGTTAGCTGCTGTCTGATCAGCACAAGCTGCCCAAGCTGCACACGACGCCGCCTCCGGTCGCCGGAGTTCGCCGACGTCTCCATGATCGGCAGCCTCAACAGCGCTCCCAGTATCTCCAACCCGCGGACGTAGCCGTCACCTGACTTGGACTCCAGCAGGTCGACGGCGAACGTGACCAGGTTCCTCCCCGCAGCGAAGGACGGGTTCTTGGCACATCCACTTCTGATTTCCTGCAAATACTGCAGAACGGCAACTCCAAGATCAGGTTCATCGTATTGCAGCGACACTGCATCAACCAGACTGCCTTTGAAATTTGCAAACGTCTCCCTGTAACCAAAGATCACGCCCTGCAGGAGAGCTAGCGTGTACAGGACGTCCAGTGCCGATTGCTTCAGATTGTCGCCGCCGTAGTCGCGCTCGATTAGCCGCCACAGAGAAATCCCGGCGGAGATGTACAGTCCATAGAGGTAGATGGCGAACAGAAGCCACATTACGATGCTCAACATCGCTGCTTGGATCTTCATCACCGTGATGTATGTAAAATCGAAGGTGTTTTTAATTATTATTCTGTGATGAACAATTGGGTATTGGAGATTATTGGTTTTGCTATTTAGAATTTACTCTCGAAGTGATTTTGGAGATGATTGGATTTCACAGGTGAATCTGCAGGATTTATCATTTTATGTGGACCGGTCAGACCGGGCTCTGGTAGCCGGTCAGACCGGCGTGTAATTCGCGGTCAGACCGGCGCAGCCCGCGGTCTGACCGGCCGATACTGTGTCGGTTTCGGTTTCGGGCTGTTTATTTGGATATCCGAGTTTATTCCATGATTATGACTTCTATATGGATACTATACGTATGTAATACTATTGTTTGCTGCTAATGAGTCAAGTTGGAGATAGCTTGGTCTCGGAATATAGTTTCTTTGTTTGTTCTATGTGTAGGTGACTCGATGTCTCGGGAGAGTATTTGCGGTGATGGACCGGGAGTCGGCTTGGGGATAAGACGACGTCCGTGGTGGTCAGAGATCATGCGGGATACTTAGGCTAGAGTTGATGCACGTGGTTGATGGAGATTCCATATGGTATATGATGGAGTTATTGTGTGCGTATGGGATGCGGAGTCGAATTTGGAAGGAGTCCAAATTTGGTACGTTTGGTTATGTAAAGTTTCTTTCTTGTACTAGTGGGTTTCCTAAGGTGTTTAGGACTCCTAGTATGAGTTTGGTTCGTGGCTTTAGGCTGCCTACCTCATGTATAAATAGAGGGGGAGCGTGAGGCTTCCCGGCATCGCTTTGTATCGCTTTAGAGAGCAATTGAGTTGAGTTTTGAGTTAAGGTTTCGAATTTAGTCAAAATTTTTGTAAGGAGTGCTGTTGGTGCACTTTGTAAACACAGAGAGAAGTAATAAAGTCGTCAACCACTTTAAGAGTTCTTCGATTTGTGTTTCACCGGGTTTTGGCGGTCTAACCGGCGATCTACCGGCGGTCAGACCGGCGGCAAGTGGCGGTCAGACCGGCGGTGTATAGGTGGTCAGACCGGTGGAAACCAGGCGGTCAGACCGGCAGGGCAACTTCGGTCAGACTGCGATCCATCGATTTCGAGGGTAACTTTTATTTCCGCTAAAAGTTTTCGGTTTTTGGGTATACCAACCATTCACCCCCTCTCTGGTTGGCTTAGTTCTTGTGTTTCGATACTACAAGTGGTATCAAAGCCTCGTTTTCTTCTTTGGATTTTTATCGATCTAAAGTTTTTGCCATTGCTACTCCCGCTAGGTTTTCAACTAAGCCTCATGTTTTCGATGGAACGGATTTTTCTCATTGGTGTAGTAGGATGCAATCTTACATTATGGCTGAAGATTATGATATTTGGAGAAAAGTTTCTCATGCTTATGTGATTCCTGAGGTTATTAATACTGCTGCTGAAAAAACTGCTTTTGAACAAAATTGCAAAGCTCGCAACATTCTTTTGAGTGGTATTTCTCGTTCTGATTATGATCGTGTTGCACATCTTGAAACTGCTCAAGAGATTTGGAATGCTTTGAAAAACTTTCATCAAGGAACAAATAATATTAAAGAGCTTCGTCGAGATCTTTTTAAAAAGGAGTACAATAAATTTGAGATGAAATCTGGAAAGGCTTTGGATGACTATCTTTCTAGATTTAATAAAATTTTGAGTGATCTTAGATCTGTTGATTCTTCTTATGATGCTAATTATCCACAATCTGAGATTTCTCGTCACTTTTTGAATGGTCTCGACATGTCTATTTGGGAGATGAAAGCTACATCTATTCAGGAGTCTGTTAACATGTCTACTTTGACTTTGGATTCGCTTTATACTAAATTGAAAACACATGAGATGAATATTCTTTCTCGCAAAGTTGATTCTAAATCGAGTGCTTTGGTTTCTTCTTCTTCCTCTTTGGTTGTTGATGCTTCTTCATCTATGCCTTCTTTTCTTGCTGCTTTTAATGCCACATCCGATGATCAACTCGAACAAATCGAGGAGGAGGATTTGGCTTTGGTTGCTAACAGAATTGCTCGAGCTATGAATAATGCCAGGAATAGGAAAAGAGGTGGTCCAAATCGTTGCTTTGAATGTGGTTCAATTGATCATCTTCGTTCGCATTGTCCTAAGCTTGGGAGAGGCAAAAGAGAAGACAAAGATGGTGAGAAGACCAACAACAACAAGCCCAACAACTACAACAAGTCAAAGGGTTCTAACCAAGGGAGGAAGATGGAGAATCTTAGGAAGGCTTTTCAACAAGTTTGCGCCGCTTTCGAGCCACTAAGTGATGTAGATGGTGAAAGTGGAGATGATGATAAGGGAAAGAACGTCTCCGATGTTTGCTTCATGGCGCGTGGTGAATCTGACATAGAGTATGAAGATAATGAGGTGAGTGCTTTTGAGGAAGCTATTAATATTTTGAGTGCTAAAAATAAAAAGTGTGAGAAGATGTATAAAAAACAGGAATTTATCATTGAATCTCTTAAGTCTGAAATTGATAGGTTAAAATCTCTTATTCCTAATGATGATTGTGAAAATTGTGAGGTTTTAATGAATGAGATTTCAAAAATTAGAGATGTTAATGCTGCACATGATTTGAAAAATAGATCTTCTCTTGCTTGTTGTTTTGCTTTGCACACACGCACTTTGGATGAGTTGTTTTTAACAAAAAAGTTGTTGCAAAAATATCAAATTGCTTTTCATGCTAGTTTGATGTTTAACATGATTTCTGCTAAAATGTTAAAACAACATGATGTTTTGGATTGCTCAACATGTAATTTGAATAAGATGAAACTAAAAGATGCTTTAGGTCGTGTTGAGTATATGGAAGATGTTGTGAAAAAAAATGAAGTGCTTTCTTGCCATAAATGTCGTAAAAGCAAAGGTGTCATGGTAGATTGTGAAAATTGTGCTAATTTGGAAAAAGAGGTTTCTTATTTGAAAAATTCCTTGCTAAAATTTTCTGATGGTAAAAAGAACCTCAATATGATTTTGGATCAATCAAAGGTTAGCACAAATAACCGTGGTTTAGATTTTGATCCTTATGCTCATAACTCTAGTCATCCTCCTGTCGTGTTAGGTGTTAGTGCTAGAAGTGGTGAGATTTTGATTAAACCTGATACAAATAAAACTGTGTTTAAATCTGCTGGTATCATGTCTACTATGAGTGCATCTTCTTCAAAATCCAATGTTGTGCATGCAAAACCTCCTGTTTCTGCCTGTGTTGCTAAAAGTTCTAGTTCTAACAATGCGTCTAAACAACGTGAAAAATATACTTGTTCTTTTTGTGTCAAAGATGGACATATTGTTGATTTTTGTTTCAGATTAGCTCATAAACAGAAAAAGGAGAGAGAGATTGCTTTTGCAAAATCAAAGTGGCAAAAGTCGGGTTTTCCCTCGAGGAAACCGGTCAGACCGCAGTGGGTTCCGCGGTCAGACCGGCGACCGGTCAGACCGGCTGCAGAGCCTCGGTCAGACCGGACACCAGTCAAACTGGCAGTACAGAGGCGGTCAGACCGGCCCCCGGTCAGACCGGCCACTGTACTTCGGTTAGACCGGCCTCGGAGGAATTTTTCTGAAAGTTCTAAAATTGATTTTGCACGTGGATATATGCCTATTGGATCTTCTGGTCGTGTGTCTCAGTACTGGATTCCTAAATTTTTATTATCTAACCCCAGTACTGAGGCTTCGACTTCTGCTTGTGTGTAGGCTTTGGTGGCAAGGAAGGAGAACGTGTGGATCGTGGATTCCGGTTGTTCGCGGCACATGACCGGTGATAAAAATTGGTTCTCCTCCCTCAAAAAGGCATCCAAGACTGAATCAATTGTCTTTGCTGATGCTTCTACTAGTGCCGTTGTCGCTACAGGTTTGGTTAAGGTAAATGAAAAATTTGAATTGAAGAATGTAGCTTTGGTTAAGGATTTAAAGTACAATTTGCTTTCGGTTTCACAAATTGTTGATGAAGAGTTTGAAGTTCACTTTAAGAAAACTGAAAGTAAAGTTTTTGATTCTCGTGGTGATTCTGTGTTGAATATTTCTCGCTATGGAAGAGTGTTTAAAGCTGATTTTGAAAATTCTGTTTCACCTGTGATAACATGTTTAGTTGCTAAGTTTGATAAAGATGTGATGTTTTGGCATCGTAGACATGGACATGTTGGTTTTCATCATCTCACTAGGTTAAGTGGTTTGGATCTTGTTCGTGGTTTGCCTAAACTTAAGAAAGATCTTGATTTGGTTTGTATACCATGTCGTCATGCTAAGATGGTTTCTATTTCACATGCTCCTATTGTTTCTGTGATGACGGATGCACCGAGACAGCTATTACATATGGACACTGTCGGTCCAGCTAAAGTGCAATCTGTTGGAGGAAAGTGATATGTGTTGGTTATAGTTGACGATTTTTCTCGATATTCTTGGGTTTTCTTTATGGCATCTAAGGATGAAGTTTTTCAACACTTTCGTGATTTGTTTCTTCGATTGGAGCTTGAATTTCCTGGTTCTTTGAAAAGAATTTGAAGTGATAATGGTGAAGAGTTTAAAAATGCTTCATTTGAACAATTTTGCAACGAAAGAGGTCTTGAACATGAATTTTCTTCTCCTCGTGTTCCTCAACAAAACGGTGTTGTTGAAAGGAAAAATCGTGTTTTGGTTGAGATGGCTTGAACGATGTTGGATGAATATAAAACTCCTAGAAAATTTTGGGCTGAGGCTATTAACACTGCTTGTTATATTTCAAATCGAGTTTTCTTGCGTTCTAAACTTGGAAAAACTTCTTATGAACTTCGATTTGGTCATCAACCCAAAGTTTCACATTTGCGTGTTTTTGGTTGCAAGTGCTTTGTCTTGAAATCTGGAAATTTGGATAAGTTTGAGGCACGCTCTACCGATGGATTGTTTCTTGGTTACCCCACATACACTCGTGGCTATCGTGTACTTATTTTAGGGACTAACAAAATTGTTGAGACTTGCGAAGTTTCTTTTGATGAGGCTAGTCCAAGTACTAGACCCGATATTGCAGGTATATACGCTGTCACAGGTTCAGGGGGAGGATGGTCGTATTTTTGAAGACGAGAGCGACTATGACGACGACGACGAGGTCGACTCGGCCGGTCAGACCGGGCGCCAGGCCGGTCAGACCGCCGACACACCTCCGGTCAGACCGGCCCATGAGGAGCGGTCAGACCGGCCAGGTTCGTCGGGTTCGGGTACTGTTGATGCTGATCGAGATGGTCCTCCAGAGAATTCTACTTCGACCAGTACTGAAACAGAATGTGGATCAACTTCAGAAGTTGCTGCTCCTCTGCACATTCAACGACGACATCCGCCGAAACAAATTATTGGTAATATAAGTGAGCGGACTACAAGGTCTAAGGTAACGGCTCATAATGTTTGTGCAAATTCTGCATTTGTTGCTTCTTTTGAACCCAAAGATGTGTCTCATGCATTAACTGATGAATCGTGGATTAACGCCATGCATGAAGAACTTGAAAATTTTGAGAGAAACAAAGTTTGAACTTTAGTTGAACCACCTTCTGGACATAATGTTATTGGAACCAAGTGGGTTTTCAAAAATAAACAAAATGAGGATGGTTTGATTGTGAGAAATAAAGCTAGACTTGTTAATCAGGGTTTTACTCAAGTTGAGGGTTTGGATTTTGATGAAACTTTTGCTCCTGTTGCTAGAATTGAGGCAATTAGACTTTTGTTGGCTTTTGCTGCTTCAAAAGGTTTTAAATTGTATCAAATGGATGTGAAAAGTGCTTTTCTAAATGGTTTTATACAGGAGGAAGTTTATGTCAAACAACCACCAGGTTTTGAAAATCCTGATTTTCCCAACCATGTTTTTAAATTGTCTAAAGCTTTGTATGGTTTGAAACAAACTCCTAGGGCATGGTATGATAGGCTTAAGAACTTTTTGCTTGCGAAACTTTTTACAATGGGAAACGTTGACAAAACACTTTTTGTTCTTAAGCATGGTGATAATCAACTTTTCGTTCAGATTTATGTGGATGATATCATCTTTGGTTGTTCGACTCACGCTGTGGTTGTAGATTTTGCTGAGACTATGCGCAGGGAATTTGAGATGAGCATGATGGGTGAGTTATCGTACTTTTTGGGATTGCAAATTAAGCAAACACCTCAAGGTACTTTTGTGCATCAAACGAAGTATACGAAGGATCTTTTGAGACGGTTCAATATGGAGAATTGCAAGCCAATTTCAACACCAATTGGTTCTACAGCTGTGTTGGATCCAGATGAAGATGGTGAAGCTGTTGATCAAAAAGTGTATAGAAGTATGATTGGATCTTTATTGTATCTAACTGCTTCTAGGCCAGACATACAATTTGCTGTGTGTTTGTGTGCACGCTTTCAAGCTTCTCCTCGTGCTTCACATCGTCAAGCGGTCAAGCGAATAATGAGGTATTTGAATCATACACTTGAGTTTGGAATTTAGTATTTTACTTCATCTTCTATATGCTTAAGTGGATATTCCGATGCTGATTTTGGAGGTTGTAGAATTGATAGGAAAAGTATTAGTGGAACATGTCATTTTCTTGGTACATCATTGATTGCATGGTCTTCTAGGAAACAGTCTAGTGTTGCTCAATCAACTGCTGAATCTGAATATGTTGCTGCTGCTAGTTGTTGTTCACAGATTCTTTGGCTTTTATCTACTTTGAAAGATTATGGTCTTACTTTTGAGAAAGTACCTCTCTTTTATGATAATACTAGTGCTATCAATATTGCTAAGAATCCTGTTCAACACTCACGCACAAAGCACATTGATATTCGTTTTCACTTTTTGAGGGATCATGTTGAGAAAGGAGATGTTGAGTTACAGTTTTTGGACACAAAGTTGCAAATTGCTGATATTTTCACTAAACCTTTGGATTCTAATCGCTTTGCTTTTCTTCGTGGTGAATTGGGTGTAATTCATCCTTTTGACATGGTTTGAGGGGGAGTTTGTACCTCATGGTTTTATCAAGCAATAATATGACAATGAAAAAATTGAGAAAAGAGAGCTTTGTTTATGCATATGGTATTTTCTTATGCATGCTAGCAATACTTTGAAGGTTTATTTGTCTCTAGCATAGCTTGTATGTATTCTAGTCTTTTCATGAGATTTAGATTTTGCTTTTAAGGGAGATGATGTATGACACTTAAATTCTATACTTGAATTAAGCAAATATGCAATGTTGATGCTAGCATATGGTTTGATTTATAAATGCTCTATATATATGCTTTATTGACTTGTTATTCCTCAAATAGCTTTAATTGTTCATTGTAAAAAAGAGAATAAAAATATGAAAAAATGAATACCGAATCCTTGGAAACAGTCTTGACGACAAGGACGTATTCGATGTGAGCAAAATAATGGGTGCCGAATCCCTGGAAACAGTCTTGACGATAGGGACATACCCGGAATAAAAAAGAAAAAATATGAGCAAAATGGCTCAAGAAAAGAAAAAGTTAAAAAATTCTCTTGGTTATTTTGTGCTAGAGGTTATTTGAGAAAGAGTGATAAATGCAATAGGTATATGTGTTTCGTGTTTATTCTTCAACGTATGTGCTTGTTAAGATGTTGCATTATAAATCGTATGAAATCACGAATTTTGATTGTTGATTCAAGCTTAATTGTAAAATCTTTGGTTCATGGTTATACTTTAATTCATGCTTGTTTTGTTATAGATGGGTCTATCTTCTTTTTATTACAACACATGACTTGATATGCTATATGTATGCTAAGCTCTTGAACATTAATGAACATAATTCCTATGCTTGATGAAATCATTGTCCAAAGGGGGAGAAGTAATTTGAAAATTTTTTTGGATTTTTTGAAGCAAAGTGAATTTTTGAAGAGTTGTTGAGAAGAGCATGTTGTTGGTTCAATTGGGAATTTCTTTCTTTTAAAAAAGAGGGAGAAGTTTTCTTTTGGATTTTTGAGCACGATGTGTACATTTGTACGAAGTGTGCTTTTTACCACCAAATATCAAAACATTTTTATGAGTTTGCCAATGTGTTCATCAAGGGGGAGATTGTAAAATCAAAGGTGTTTTTTATTATTATTCTGTGATGAATAATTGGGCATTGGAGATTATTGGTTTTGTTATTTGGAATTTATTCTCGAAGTGGTTTTGGAGATTATTGGATTTCACAGGTGAATCTGCAGGATTTATCATTTTATGTGGACCGGTCAGACCGGGCTCTGGTAGCCGGTCAGACCGGCGTGTAATTCGCGGTCAAACCGGCGCAGCCCACGGTCTGACCGGCCGACACTGTGTCGGTTTCGGTTTCGGGTTGTTTATTTGGATATCCGAGTTTATTCCATGATTATGACTTCTAGATGGATACTATACGTATGTAATACTATTGTTTACTGCTAATGAGTCAAGTTGGAGATAGCTTGGTCTCGGAATATGGTTTCTTTGTTTGTTCCATGTGTAGGTGACTCGATGTCTTGGGAGAGTATTTGCGGTGATGGACCGGGAGCCGGCTTGGGGATAAGACGACGTCCGTGGTGGTCAGAGATCATGCGGGATACTAAGGCTAGAGTTGATGCACGTGGTTGATGGAGATTCCATCTGGCATACGATGGAGTTATTGTGTGCGTATGGGATGCGGAGTCGAATTTGGAAGGAGTCCAAATTTGGTACGTTTGGTTATGTAAAGTTTCTTTCTTGTACTAGTGGGTTTCCTAAGGTGTTTAGGACTCCTAGTATGAGTTTGGTTCGTGGCTTTAGACTGCCTACCTCATGTATAAATAGAGGGGGAGCGTGAGGCTTCCCGGCATCGCTTTGTATCGCGTTAGAGAGCAATTGAGTTGAGTTTTGAGTTAGGGTTTCGAGTTTAGTCGAAATTTTTGTAAGGAGTGCTATTGGTGCACTTTGTAAACACAGAGAGAAGTAATTAAGTCATCATCCACTTTAAGATTTCTTCGATTTGTGTTTCACCGGGTTTCGGCGGTCTAACCGGCGATCTACCGGCGGTCAGACCGGCGGCAAGTGGCGGTCAGACCGGCGGTGTACAGGCGGTCAGACCGGCGGAAACCAGGCGGTCAGACCGGCAGGGCAACTTTGGTCAGACTGCGATCTATCGATTTCGAGGGTAATTTTTATTTCCGCTAAAAGTTTTCGGTTTTTGGGTATACCAACCATTCACCCCTCCTCTGGTTGGCTTAGTTCTTGTGTTTCGATTGCAAACGTCTCCCTGTAACCGAAGATCACGCCCTGCAGCAGAGCTAGCGTGTACAGGACGTCCAGTGCCGATTGCTTCAGATTGTCGCCGCCGTAGTCGCGCTCGATTAGCCGCCACAGAGAAATCCCGGCGGAGATGTACAGTCCATAGAGGTAGATGGCGAACAGAAGCCACATTACGATGCTCAACATCGCTGCTTGGATCTTCATCACCGTGATGTATGCACTGGGGCCTGCACTGATCTCTGCCCTACTTCTGCAGATGGCAAGGTAGGAGAACCCAGTGTTGCTCAACTGCTTGTTCATGATGACATTGAACACCCTGTTGGATGGTACGGTTTGAGCAGCATACGTAACACATGGTTTGAAATTTCGGTAATATCGGCCCTCCCGTCAAGCACAAATCTACCCAAAGTTTTTAATTTTTTTTATCAAATATTTGTAAAAATTTGTTAAAATTCAGTCAAAATATGTTAAAACTTTAAATAATTTCGGCCATAAAAATCCGGAAATCACGAAATTTCAAATTTTCGGCAACCACCCAACCGAAATTGTAAACCCTGATGTAACAAGTGGAATTAAGGTAGAACGCAGACGGGTTCACTATTTTCAAATGCATAATTTCTGGGTACTGAACTTTAGGATTTTCTGAGGTAACTAAAAAAATTCTAATTCAAATAACTTGTGCCTAAACTTAATTTCTCGTAAGAGCTTAAAATTTTTGCGAGAAGAACATCCTACAGGAACATCCGGTAAACCCGAAATCTTGGAAAATTCAGTCCAAAACTGTGAACCCTAACAAGAACGTCATGTTCAAAAATCGATCTACTTATGTACTAGTTACTCTCTCCGTCCCATAATGTAAGGGATTTTGATTTTTTGTTTACACCGTTTGACCACTCGTTTTATTCAAAAAAATTTGGGCAAATACAAAAAACGATAAGTTGTGCTTAAAGTACTTTGGATAATAAAGTAAGTCAAAAAAAATAAATAATAATTCCAAAATTTTTTGAATAAGACAAGTGGTCAAATGGTGCAAGCAAAAACTCAAAATCCCTTATATTATGGGACAGAGGGAGTAGACAAGAACACCATGATTTAAACCATGTGTTTCGACAGATGTGCCGTTTAACTAGTGGCTAGTTTGAAGTCTAAATAGGTAATGGGAAAAGAAAAATCAGTCGTGAGGAGACTTAACCAAATACCTGAAAGAGGGTGATTACCGTGAGACACCAAAAGTCCTTCTTCCCCAGCATGGAGACGAAACCGCCGAGGAGGACGACCGTGGTCCATGTAACCACGAGGAAACCAAGCCCATTCACGGCTATTGTCATGTACCCCATAAGGACGCCATAGCTGTTGATGTACTGCACTTCCAACCAGTCGGTGTCGCTGGGATCCAGGGATGGGAGACGCCGGCGAGTGTTTCGCCGTTTACGGTGCTCGGCTCGCGCGCCACGGTCATGCAGCCCCAGCTCTACCCCGTCGGCCATTCTTGTCAAGACCAAGAGAATCAAGATGATCGCAGGGGGCACCCCACTCCGAGAAATCAGCCAGCCATTTGATCGGACAGTCCATGGGTGTAGTTGAATAACATGGAAGCGAAGTAAACGATATGTTAATTTATGCCAAGAACGAGGTTGGATCAGGGAGGGCGAGCTTGTTATTTAATTCCAGCAGAGAAGATGTGCAAATATCAAAGGTCAAGGTGCGATGCGCGGGCATCGTATATATTTTTATATAAACTAGGATGGTAGCTCGTACAAATGTGCATGCATGTATCTCGTTTATATGGGTGGAGAATTAACCGGATTATTTATATCTTGATTCAAAAGTACGATTTCTCTTAAATTATGCCCATCAACATTGCTTGGATATTTTTTCCAAGCTATTTGATAAACTATGAAGGTAGCCTACATATTCACGCGAGCACGTATTGTAGCCTGCGTTTGAAAATCATATATAGGTGAAATATTAACTAGACCTGTCATGTTTCAAAAGTACTATTTCCTCATAAATTTTCTTCAAGGAAATTGCTTTGTTAATGTTTTTCAATAAATTTGTTATGTTTTAAAATATATACTATTTAATACATTCATATAAACAATTATCCATGATCTCTTCATTATTTAGAAAGGAGTTAGATTTAGTTTGTTTGGAAAACGTGTCAAAGCATTTTGTCTTGTTTAATCGAATGTTTAGTTGCTTTTTTTTAACAAATCCTAAAGAACTATTATTTTTAATAAATATGTTTTATTTGTACCATGAAGTAGCCCTCCTTCTAGTTTGAAATTGATGAAAGTTGTTATACTTACATATAAATTAATAACGACACATTGTAGCCCTTGCTTTCTTGTGATATTCGATTTATACTACCTTTTCTAAACAAAAGTACCTTGTTAACAGGAATCCAAAGTTTTGAATTTGATAGTAATAAATATAACTTTTCAAGGAACTATTTGTGCAATAATATATGGATAAACTCATAATGCTATGATTTAGTACAAATCTAAGGTCGTTAACATCTAAGCAATTAAAAATTGTTATGAAAATGGAACGTGCAATGATTGGTCCAATTTTAGTGAAAGTAAGAACCATATCTTTTTACAAACTTATTACATTTTCTCCAAATATTTCAATTTTTGACTGTATTGAGATTTTCTATTTTCTGATTTACTTTATACTAGTTGAAAATATAGGCGTTATGGATCTTTAAATTGTTGGTTCAATTATAAATACAACAATACTTACATTAGAAATCACATGTGCAGATTAAAAATCATGCACATTTTAATATTTTTTTATTATTTCTTGCTATAGAAAAACTGGGAGAGGTAGAGTGACGCCGAGAAGGGAGTGTACTGGTAGTGTTTGTGTTCTGCATATATGCGAGGCAGGACGAAGGGGAGGGGTGGTTTTTTTTTCTAATTTTTCCTAAATGATTTAGGTGAAAACCGATGATCCCATTTTTTTTTCTTATAATATCCATTGGTCCTTTTCTTTTCCTAACTTTTAAGAAGTAACACATGGCTGCTTAAGTCTTTTGTAAAAGTATATCTGTTGGTTAAAAATAATGAATCCCCGTCGAAACTTATGGTCTTATGTTTTGTCTTCCAATTTCTAAGGTTTTATTTTTATTGGGCAATATATATCTTGAGAGAATCCACTCAGTGCCACTGAGTTTTTACCACTTCTACAATATACCACTGATTTTGTCAAGTTGAATAATATGCCATCGAGTTTTCCCGAACGTCTACTGCGTGCCATCGCCGTCCACAAGCCGTTAGGGTGCATCCGTTTGGTGTATTGAATTTTTTCTTAATGACTAAAATGCCCATGACTAATAAACCCTAGCACCTGTTTTAGTAAAATATTTTGGTATTCATTTCTATATCTATATGAGCTCAGTGCCATGCACCATGTTCAAACTTGTTTTATATCTAACTGTATGGGGTTGATTTTTTTTTCATTATGTACATTTATTTTTTTCCGATATGTCCCATTTCAAAGTCAACAGATCACTAGTTCACTACGTCTCTACCAACGCGTGAAGCTAGCAATCATAGGCTGTTATATGATTCAATCAGTTTCTCTATATGTATTCATATAATACATATGTCCCTCGGCAAAAAAAAAAAATACCATGTACAATGAGTTAGGGGCAAATAGGTCTTTTTACAGCTCTAACAGATGCCCAACTAACAGCTTCTGGACTGTGATGGCACGCAGTAGACGTTCGGGAAAACACGATGGCATATTATTCAACTTGACAAAGTCAGTGGTATATTGTAGCTAGAAGTAGTGAAAACTCAATGGCACTGAGTGGATTCTCTCTTTCTTTAAATATAAGTAAAACAACAATTTAAATAAACTAAAACTCTAATATAACTTAAGAATTATAATCATTTATCTTTGTAATTATTGATCGTTATTATTAATTAGTTAAAAATCAAGAGACGAAGAAATTAAGTGAGAGAGGGGAGGAACAGAGTTCACGGGGATATAGTACGCGTGCATAACTGTAATATTATTTTCATGGATAATACTGTTTTAGTTGCTATTATTTTGTTAACTTAAAAGTTTGATTAAAATCTATCTTTTCTTTCTCATCCTTTCCTACAGTATATTAAATATAGTAGATACCAAAATTAAGAACACTACAAATCTAATAAATCTAATAATGTTATTTTGACTTATTGTAACATCAGAATAGGTTCATTTTAATTACTTTGAAGTTATATAGGATGATAAAATATATATCATTATTTTTTGATAATTTTGTAATTGTTTGAATGGCACGCCAAAATCAGAAAATACGGGCCCAAAGCAACATATTCATTAAGAAATACTCATGCTTGGTTGTATGCATATACTTGACGGTCACATCATACATGCTTGGCGAAATTTCAGAAGAAACATATCGTCCTTCATCAGATATAAGTATTCATGCTCCTTTCTGTTTTTGAATCTTATAGACCAAGTTGCCGGTACTACATAGTGAAAATCAGTTTTCTCTAAGTTGGTCACTTTTATTTCAGATTCAGCTCATACACGTGTTAGTGCGTGCATTGCCTACTATTCAGCTTTCCATCAGACAACCATTCAGTAGATCATGGTCAAACAATTGCTCTGACCATCTACTCTGGCAAGGTATTCTGTACATAAAGTTCTTCATTAGAAATCTAAAGATCATATTGTAATTAAACGATGATCATATATTGTAATCCAACAAACCAAAAGTATATTGTTGGAAAATTAACCATTCCTGCTTGGTGCAGTAGAAACTATAGAGCACACTATAAAACTGTATTTAGAAAAATTGTTATCTGTTTTATCATCATATATTCCCGCAGCAACACGCAGGGTATTATTAGTAGTGCTAACGGGGAGCCGCAAATGGATAGCACGGAGAACGTCACAGATTCTGAGACTGTTGATCACCCTTCCTTGGTAAACCTTATGTTGAATGATCCAGGTGTGCGGATTTGAAATGATCAAAAATTTGAGGATGATCCTGCGATTTGGACCAGAGGTTCACCGGTCCAAAATTTTGGGACCGGTGGATCCTTCTATGTGTATCCAGGAACTAAATTTTTAGGACTTTCAGAAATTCCGATATGAAAGTTATGAAATTTCTCTCGGCCCAACTCCTAATGCCTCCCATGTCTAAGTGCGTGATGTTCCTGGATACACATAGCGATATGCAATTTGCAGTATATGTCATCTGTGCAGACAAATGGATTGCAGTATAGAAGATCTTACTCTTGATTGTCCTTTTCTAGATGGTGAACACTAGATATTCAGTGTAACAGCTATCACATGAGAAGTGTATGCACATGTGTTTTTACGATTCTTAAACAGTTAATGTGAGATTACAGACAGAGATTAGTCTTGGAAAAGAAAATGGTTATATTTTTTTCCTCGTATAATTACAGACCATGAATAAGTAGTGTTCGTCAAGTTGTGTGAAACAGATTTTCTAATATCTATGTCCGGATTATGTCAAAACGGTTGGACTAATACGGGCCAATGTATTTCTTTTGGTCAATTTGAATAGACATCACCGATTAATAAAAAAAACCAGAAAAAAGAGGGAAATCAAACAGAGCAAGATCGAGCCAGAGGCCTAGCTATGGAAATACAAATTGCCTCCACCGAATGGCCATGTCTGTACTTGGACTGAATGAAAACTAGCCGTACTCAGCAATGTCATGTGTCTACTGAACAAAGTGGCGCAGAAGATTTTGGCCGTGTTTAGATTCAAAATTTTTTGTTCAAACTTCCAACTTTTCCGTCACATCAAATGTTTAGACACAGGCATGAAGCATTAAATGTGGATGAAAAAACCAATTACACAGTTTGCATGTAAATTGCAAGCCGAATCTTTTGAGCCTAATTACGTCATGATTTAGCAATATGATGCTACAGTAAACATTTGTTAATGACGAATTAATTAGGCTTAATAGATTCGTCTCGCAGTTTACAGGCAGAATCTGTAATTTGTTTTGTTATTAGTCTACGTTTAATACTTCAAATATGTGTCTATATACTTTAAAAAATTTTTGGCACACATATTAAACACAAGTACACAACCTTTATTGTTCAACTATGTTGGAACAGGGAGCAGTGTTGCTACCTTGACAGAGATTATCTGCGAAATGCTGGCTCATCACTGTCAACATTTGGGAGGATAGGATGGGGCAGGGTGGATGGCTTATTATGATTTTGAGCATATCCCGTGAATTTGACAGGTCGTCAATTCCTACGAGTACGCTTAGTTGAACCGAAATTTCGGCGATTTTGGCACCTCCTGTTCGAAATTTCAGTCCTTGTCACTGCTCTATTCCGGATGCCTGCCATGTCTAAGTTCCTTTGCAAAGTTGTGTTGTATATTATCTGTGCACAAAATCGACCTAAGAAGATAAGATGTATGAGACTCATCATGCTTGCAGCTATTTAAATTCAAGCTGGAGTCGATGCCTTTCTTTAGAGG